AACAACAAGCCTGAGTCTGACATAAACCACCCTCTAAAAAAACAAACTATTCCTTATGTAACTCATAAACCTGCTGCAAAGCTGTAGTGGTAGAAAGGTACTCTTGAGGTAAATCATGGTAATTAAACTGCAGAAAATTCCTTTTTTATTAGAATACGATTTTTATTCTACACAGATAGTGTACTTTAGATGCAAGATGCCAAAGTGCTTTTTGAAAATCCTCAGTTAGGCTGATTACGTACTGTTCAACATCGGGCGATTTCATGTTGAGGTGGAAAATTCTTTCAGTCAACCAACACTTGGGAATGGTGTCTACACTGCATTTATACCAGCGGAATTTCATTTTGACTTATTAATAAAACAAATTTCAGTTATTCGCTTATCACTATTCAATAACTAATTTGTATGCTACCCACTAATGAAAGATAATTAAATGAAGTATCGTGGGAATTATAAGAACAAAGTTTACGGATAATCAGTTTTCTTTAAAATCAATAAGCAACATTAAAAAAAATAACTGAAGTATTCAATCGATGGCTAGTACAGATCTTATTTATAATTGAAGGAAAAACTACATAAATTATAAGAAAACAGGGGAACCAGGTTCAACAAGGCCGTAAGAGAATAAATCCTATGAATTGAAGCTCTTATCTGTAACTTATTTACTCACATGATCACTTTTTGAATCAGTTGCTTACTATTTCTCTTAACCCATTGATGAGTATATATAATTGTTTTTATATCATACCGTCGTTGATTGGACCGAATTGATCGATCTCTATTGGCATATATAAAAACAATTATATATACTAAAAACTATACCCGTTGCACAAGAAGTGGCTGTCTTGGCTCGGTGGTGTAGTGGATAACGCTCTCGCGTTTGAAGCGGTCGCTCCCGAGTCCTGGAGGGAACAATATCACTCACTGGGAGGCAGATACATCCAGCTGACGAGTCCTAAATAGGACGAAATGCGCATTCTGGATTCCACTGCTAGCCACTATCCATCATTACCATTGATGAGTGTTCTAGTTTTCAAAGTACACATTTCGTCTAAGCTTGCACTTCATATATTTTGCAATAATTGTTGTACGAATGTGAATAAAATCAATGACCATTTGTAGGTTGTGAGTGACACCTATGTACGTATGCACGTGTGTCAACTATCTTATCTGATGATTACCCAAACAAAAATAAAACAAATACGTAGTCGCTGGTTCGAATCCGACCACGGTCCAAATTTTCATTTCACTTTCAATCATCACCCAGTATAAATACTAGTCTGCCAAATTACAGATATCTCAGATAGTCAAATGATAATAAATATGTAAGAGCTCACAATACCTAGTGGATGAAAATCAAATACCTAGATCATAGTAAATTCTACCAACGTACGAAGTCAATATAAGATTTATTCACAGAGTTCAATTAACTTTCTGAGTCATACGTTGAGTTAAAATTGATCATAACATAAATACTGATAATGAAATATTTTTAGTGGTATTTGAACTCGATACTCATTGATCAAAAGTTGGTTTCTCTCAATTTTAAGTATTTAGATCTTTGAAAGAGTTAACCACAAAACAAATAATGTAATAAAGGGAATTAATCCACAACCCTATATCACATAAGCTACTAGTTGAGACAGACGTTTACTAAGCAGCTGCATTTCCGTACTATCTCCAACTACATCTTCCGGTTCAAAATGTATGAATTAAAATCTAACCATTGAAAGAAACAATGTACACATATGCACGTTTCGGAGATTCAATACAGATAAATTTAAGTGTATACACGAAAAGACCAGTTTTTAAAATTTTTGAGAAAAATCTGAAGTGAAACGATCACTGTACAAAGATATTCATCCATGTGACTAAAAAACATTAGGGCACGTGAACTGTGATAAGGAAATGAATAACCATTCAAGTGGTCCCCTATCGGCTCTAAATTATTCGTGTAAACGCCTGTCAAATTATCGAAGAAACTGGAAATTTCAAGAAGCTATTAGGTGTACGACACCGTATATTAGGTGAAGATTGGTAGAATTAAAAGTACACAGCTTGAAATGAAGTCATAAAGGAAACCCGTTTTTAGCCCCGATGTAGAAGAAAGATTCTATTCATTATTTGTTTTCTGTTTAACGATTTATTGGGTAATGCAAAGTTACTTGGGATTAAATGGTACGGTTTAGGGAGCGACAACTGGGTCTTAGGTTGTGCTATTTAATACTGGACCACACCCCCAACGAGAACTTCGTGTCTATAGAATTTTGTCCTTCATTTGAAGTGCAGTTACAGGGAAAATCCATGAGAATAAGAAGATAGTGCAAATAATCCCCTTCGATTCAGTTGAAATTAGTACCATCGAAATTGTGCATAAGCCTATTTACAATTGGAGAAATCCTTCCACAATAATTCAAAACTATCTAGAACGACTGCACAGTCACCTAGCAACTTGATTGGCCAATTCAAAATCCATCAATAATCACCCATATCCACCTTATTTACAACAATGTGATTAATCCCACATTAGAAAAACTCTTAATCGACATGGTGAGTGTTTCAAAGCGATTCGTGACTGGAATAAGCTAAATACTTCAACAGTAAAACTGTTCACCTATATGATGTTAACTTTTGAAAACAGTTGAATGTATTTAACAGATCGAACCGAATTCACAGCATTTCACTGAAGCATACGTTATACAATGACTTGAACACCTAGTCTATGCATTCAGAAATAAACTGTCATACATCTTATTATACTACAGTACGCATTTTATTCATTTACGTAATATTGTTTTATACTTACATCAATCAGTGTATCCTACTCTTTCTTCGAATCTCTTTACTTTATCTGTTTGATTTCTAAGCAACTCGTTGTCTTTTAAAACATTAACTTCTCGCATCTAGGAAAGATTTTCTTTTTTGTTTTATGTAAGGCAATAACCCTACTTTGAAGAGGAAAGATATTGGAAATGACAAGACTTTACATAACAGTTATGTTGTAAGCCATACATAGTGGTGAAAATGAAATTAGAATCTCCAGATTTTACTTTAAAGTAAAACAACAAGCTACTCGTTACCAAATAACGACCAAAAATTGCCGATAGGAGGTAATGCGGAGTAAGAGAACCATACAACAGGTCAAAATATACTATTCCCCAAAGAAGAACAGCTCTTATTGTAAACAAACTGAGAGGAACTTTAAAGGTCACTGTAACAACTAATCAAATGGTCAGTTAGGCTTATTTTTCTCGAGGGACACTACTTTTTGAAGCAAAATAAAGAAATCTAATCTATCATATCAGTATTTGCTAGTATGGCCTTAAAAGTCATTATATATTTAGCCTGTTACAATGTTGATATTATTGCTTTCAGTAACTTTCATTAACACATTAAGTACATTCATGCCAGTCTATACGCTCTTCCTGTCGAAGAAAGACATAGGATGTTGGCAAGAAGCGTTTGACGGCTACGTGTATGTTAAATGTACCGGCAATTCCAAAGGAATAGTACATCTTTAAAGATGTTTGTTAAAGAGATAGGATACTACTCAATGACTGACTCATTCTTCAAAATATTCTCAGTACTGTGGTTTACGTGCTAATTAATATGAAAAAGGATACTTCACTTAGCAACTCCACTCTCAACATACTAAACCGCTGATATCTTTAGTTTACTTGCGTTTCACTAATCACTACAGGATTTGCATGAAGATGAAACCTAAATCAATCTCGAAGTCGTATGTGCCCTATTGATTGAATGTCATGAACGGTAAGTGATGTGTAAAAAGACAAAATCTGTCCACCATCAAACAAGGAATCAATAGGTGAATAACGAGATTGAACACTATTCTATCTACAGAGGTTGCGGCAGTCAGTTACAATCGCAACCCCTCACATAATAACTTTGGCTCATTCTAAGGTGCACAAATCTGCAAATGGTGCTAATTTGCATGGAAAGATTACAAGATAGCAGATACTGAAACTGGACGGTCACCTAATAAGAGATCCTGCTATCCGGAGGTAGGTAAAATGGATACAATACATAGCACTATGTTATGAACACACGCCTTTTACAACTGTGCTCATCCTATGTACTGACATCAAGGCATAGGATATCTCAGCAATAAACTTTCTAAAATAATGCATAACATGATAATTCACAATCTCTTTATAACTGAAATAACCAAATAATGCATTTCATAATCACATAAGAGACAATAAAGAAAGAAAAAAAAACTGTGCTTTCCTCGAATCTTTTTCAAAAAACTACCCGACCCAAAACGCAGGCATATATCTCTCTTGTAAGCGAAAAACATAACAAAACAATCTCCTAACAACCACTGATACATCTACTAAGGAAATAAAGTAAAAGAAACGTGTATTAAATTTTGACAAAACAAAATAATCGATTTGAATACTGTTCGAAAAATCATAGAATTTTAGATAATGAATGATTGTGTTCCAAAGTGTCAGTCAACCCATTCACTTTATCCATACTCACACGTGTATGCATACATATATAATTAATGAAACAATAAGAGAAATCATGAGCAAGAACTACACTGAACAAGTGATAAGGATAGAAGTAAAATTGATCGATAAACAATTTTAGAAGAAAGAAAGAAACAGATAGAGAGAATAACAAGCAACATACACAACGAAGAGAGAAAAAAAACCAATAGAGCATAAAAAACAAATGATCATTTGGTAAACGCTTAGTCCTAACTCAAGTAAACTGTTCATAGAATGGATACAGATTAAAAGGGAAAAGAAAAGGTGAAGGGAGAATAAATTTATCATCTGATGAAGAGTGTATAGGACTCAGTGACCGAATGAAAGACATCTGGTGAATGATATCAGTCTGTGAGTAAATTGAACACAATACAAGGAAATATACATTTCTATATAAATAATATTATAGAGTTAGCAACTCGAATTGATTGACAGAAACAAAAATCAGGGTGGGTAAGTAATCTGAACTAAACTAAGCTTCACTGATCAAAATTGCGACAAAAATGCCTCAAAAAACATTATCAGAACTGGTAGCAGTAATACACCGAGAATGTTAAGTACAGAGATACAAATCCTTGGTTTCAGAGTAGTTCTAAGCCAGCTGGTATTATCCGTGTTGATAATTCCGCGTGAAAGTTGTCCAACAGTTGAATATGCTGGGCCACGATGCCATTTTACTAGGCGGTCGACACTAACACTGACTAAATCGAATGAATCTGATTTTAGAGCAGTTCGTGAGACAACTTTATGAGAGGTTCGAGTTAGCACTGATGAATCTTGCTGTAGGAAAGTTAATGCAGTAACAAAAATCGGATGTGCATTATTCAAGGAATAAACGTTGACTAGCCGATGGTTGGATGGTGACAAGCTGAATGATGAATACATAAAAAATTCGAATAAAAGTAATCACTGACAGCAATTATACAGTGGTATATATCGAGTACAACAAAAAAGTGACATCCCTACTTACACTACAAAGACAAGACAGTTTTCCTACATAATGTTAAACTTATATTCAGTATCAAATCGAAGAGGAAGGAAGAAATGTACAACTAGACCCTTACAGCGATATTCTGGTTCTACACTGTTTGAGACATATATTTTCATCTGCTAGTCTATTTTTGTGCACAACTGAACGACATTCATTTTAGTGTTATAGTAAGCACTACTGATGTAACTAATATTCGGGAAGAGCATGGGTGGCTGGTTTTCTGACTTCAATAAATATCACAATGGAGACTACAGTCACTTTAACAGTTTACTGTGATATGTAACTTTTAAGCAACAACACTACTGTACAACATATCAATTTCCCAATGCTAAATACACTTTTGGTGGTTATTATTTCCAATGGATATCTATGTATCTACAAGTTGCAATTTAGAAGGTATGGGGAAGAATATTTGACAAAACATTGTGAAGCTTGTTATCAGAAAACAATTGATGTACTGACAGCATCAAGTGACTTCAATGGGTGAGCAAAAACGCTGAAACAAGCCTAAAATAATATTCTTCACCTACTATTTCACACTAACCGCAAGTAAATAACGAGAAACCGTTGTTTAAAATCAACCTGACAAAGAGCACAAAAGGATTATATTGCTTATATGCAATGTTGGACATCGATTGAAGATTGTTTTTCCTTTTGGGGAACTTATTTGAATTTCCAGCACACCTCAACTTCATTATGTAAGTGTTCATACACGAACCAGGCGCTAAAAAACGAGGGAATTCACTGTGAACTCGTATTGATCATAAAGTAACTTAATGTAAGACAAGTGATAGAAGGAGTTAATAAATCAACATTCAAACTTACAAACATGTATGAAGGTCTGTGCAAAGTTGTAGGTCCTGATTAACAAATAAATAGTGGTATTCGACAGAACTGTCCACCATAACCATTCACATTCAACTTAATCCCAAAAACATTTTTTTCTTCCCGTCATGCAAAGACTTTCCGTACACAGATGTTAGGGAGGATAAAACTGAAGTTTCCTATAGACCGGTGAGAGTTTATAGATTATCTACTAACCACGTTTACATCTGATTGACTGTTTGCTACCTGTAGGTAAAGTTATAATCATTTCATGGTGATAACATGGTATGTAAGTAGCCGCTGTGTCCTAATGGAGTTCTTGATTAAAGATGAGATATCGGATAACACATATACAGTGAGTTGGTCATTGTTTTAGTCGTTTGATATTCATTTAATTGGGTCTTGCGATCGTCATTAACCGATCACAGTGGGTCTAACATATCAAGTCGTGGACCGAAGTGTCATGTTTGACTACCCGGTCTGTTGTCCAGTCACACAGAAATAATTACAGTCAATCTCGCCTGCATACAAGCTGCAGCTACAACAGATGAAGACACTGAAGATACAGAAATTCCACTGGATATGAACTAAAACGTGGATTTAAGGGTTGAGTATGATATACAGCTTGGAAACAGTAACAGAGTCTTGTGATCTGATCAATTCACTTTCCTAGAAGCGGAATAAACTGCGTTAAATTAGATACAAAAGACTCAATTAACTTCTAGGTTAGGAAAGCAAGATATCAAATTTTTTGGCACAGACCGTGTTTGTTGTGTACCAGTCAGTCAGGTGTATACGTTGAGATAGTAGCGATAATTATTATTACATGACACCTGTAACTTTTAGTATGAGCAGTGTAGGGAAATATAGACCTCTTGTTTGTGCTTCAGGAGACAAACGAAATCGATTGTTTAAGGACTCTATATGATCTGCTAAAGAGATCGAAATGATGCAGATATATTAACGCTTTGTTTCTATTTTAACCAGCAACTGCCGGCTTTATTCTCTCTTCTTTTTATCGTACGGCATCCCATAATCTTTGATCATATCATTTCTATTTTTTCGTCTTTCCTCTTTCTGTATCGTATTTTGATGTGCTGAGACAGCTTAGACTATTGCTCAGTAATACCAAACCTAATTTTGATATTAACCAAGTGATATCGGAAGAGCATGCATGTTTGGTCATCATGTCTTCATATTGTTGCTTGTATATGATAAAAAAAGACTGGCAGGTAAATATTGACAACGGGTTTTGAATGGTAAAATCAGTCAATGAGATTTAAAAATTCGATCGACTAAAGTGTCTATGGCATTTGCTGTGTGTAATCAACCACCTCTTACTTTGATACTGATTGGGAGGAATCTCGAGCTGGTCAGGTTAAGACAGGAGAAATATATACAATACTTAACTATGTTTGAGTAATGCAAGGCAGTGAATGTCTAGGGAACTGACATTACTGAATAACAATACACGTTGCTAGATATCATACCAGCACATCAAAATACAAGAAAATAAGGTGAAAGATAAGTAAATGGAAATGAAGAGATGACGGAGAGTAAGCTGCATAAATAAGTGGGATCTGACAATGAAGATGAAGACAATAATTGATTGGTTCTGAGCTACATTTTTATTTTTTATGCAAAGGGAGATAATCCCTACACTATTAAGTAACTATGCCAGGTTCTCTGTTGTTTCTCCCTATCCACCAAATAATAAAACCCAGTGCTCGTTAAAAGATGTCATTAGGCAATAGGTAATGTGCAGTTTGATGCGATCAACCTTCGAAACTCATTTTTTTTAAAAGAAAAACAGTCGTTCGAAGTACTTAATGCCCTTAAATTACATCACATCTAACAACAGACACCCTTCGTAATACGAATACAAGAATGCAATTACTCATATTACGGTAGTGGTTGTTTTCGGTTAACGCATACAGTAAACTATAATATAAAATAGTAAAATCTAAAGAATATGGCTTACAAGTACACATCAACACGTCCCTCCATGGTGCCTACAGCGATCAAACCACGTGAACGACTAGGGTGGACAGCTAAACAAGCAGGTAGATGTCCTTGTGGAAGAGTAATCTCTGCAAAGGTAGTGAGTTGAACTGGCTGGTGCATTCTTCCACTGTTTGACGACTCACAGCTTTCCATTGAAGGGTGAGGTACTGACCAAACAACCAAGTGACTAAAGCTTTTACGATTTGCACATAGAGGCTGAAGAGTGGTAACCAGCATAGATTCAACACCATCACTCTTGTCGACTTTAGAATCCGTAGACAAGGTCTGATTTGCTGAAACTTGTGGCGCAATGGAATATTTCATAAACTGACAGTGTCTGAAACGATAAGTTGAACGGTCATGAGAACGATCAACCACCTGAAATTTAAAAAACCAAAAAGTACTCGTAGTCAATGGAAAAGAACAAATTCTGTCAAATACACTGATCATAGAAAGTGCGAAAATACGACATCGAAAAATCACCATATAAGGTGTCCACTATACACTTGTACGATCGATTTTTCAGTGCATCTTAACTGACCAGTTGAATATGTATGTACATTTTCATCCGCTTTTTGATATAATTCATCCATATTTATATATAAACAAGGTTATGAAACTCAGGAAAACAACTTTCTCCATTATGACTGAAAATAGTTGTCCAGCAGCATAGCTTGTTTCCTAAAGACCAAATCATTCAGCTGCTACTAATTTTGAATGGATTAAAACAGTTTTGAGGATTTGACAATATAGATTCTGCTTTTATTACCATTGTAAGTTTTTCCCAGCAAGCCTTACGTACTTTCCCATGTAAGGGACTTAAAAATACTAACATAATTTCTATCCTCCATAATGGAGTCACAGGTGACAAAAAGCTGCCAAGAACCATGCAAAAGTTCGTCTAAAGACGATTAGTCACACCTATTTTGTAATCGCTATGATAGTATCTGGTTGTTGAGACCTTGACACAACGGCCAAAAGCCGAATACATAAATCATTCGGACCATCTATTTTCAGAATTCAAACCTGGAACCTGGTGCTTGAAAATAGTGTCTAAAGTAGTAGGTTACGAGTTACAACCTGTTGAATGCTCATGAATAATATTCTACCGAATGAATACGAAATGTTTATCATTCTAATTGTTGAAATTTTCAGGAAAACTTCGCCGAAGCGGAGATACTTTGGCACCTTCGTCAAGTATAAGACTGATTTATTTACTGTATTGGTGGTTTGTTAACCTATTAGGTAGGCAAATAAACCATTTGAAATTGAGTCAATACACTTTATTTACTTTACAAAAGCACTTTTCTTGACTTCAATCGTAAACTGTGTATTTACTTTAAAGTAATGGATCATCAGATTTTGTTTTCGAATTTCTAATACTCGATCAAAGGTCCGAGTCCTATCCCACGTAAAGCGGTTCAAACAATCAGATATTATCCAAACGACCAGGCAATACATATGTGTCTTATTGTCTGGTACACGAACCTATACACGGTTGTTTTATTCATGATTCTTTGATAATCCATCTAGCTAGGATAAACAGAATTAGTTACAGTTTATGGAGCGGTATCTTGAAATGAAAAATACCTGTCAGGGAAACATCTGTTGATGCGCTAAGATTTACCATTTGAGATTCCGTAGATTACTGGACCTAACAGATGGAGGTGTTATCGGGCACAACACAAGTGAAATCAATGAGGTTCATGTTATAGTTTCTTCCTGTTCTCTATATTCTAACAGTGGCACAAAAGTAATTAAAAGTTCTATAGTACCTCTGCTTTTGTGACTAGCGTTATTTCATATCATCAAAATGCAAGATTATTTTGTATGGTCCACGTCTTAGTACTTATGTTGTATCCAATTTGTTACGAATTAAAATAATACAAAATACTGACTTGTCCTCTAAAATGAACTATACGTTTCAGTAGAGTAAAACGAAAATGAATACATAACAACCTCAGTTTGTATAAATATACTATATAATTCTTAATTGAAAGAAGATAACCTTATTGTAGGTTATGAATGAACGTATATTTGCCATACCGACCCATTGCACTTATTTCAATGTCATCAGTAAAGAATTATTACTAGCCTTTGCAAAGTATATATGGCCGTCAGCCTACTACATACATAAAATCAACACAGAACCTTGCGTGCAGGTGTATCAGCTCAAGTTACCACACTTCATCGTACATAAAAAACAAGTGGATAGAATTAGAATGATGTCTAAGTGGACACTGTTGTATGAGAGAATAAGCAAATATTCAAGCTTTAGAAGACGTCAAAGATTGAATACATCTGTGCCATTGTGACTGATTTTCATCTGTCACCGAGAGTCCTCAACCACTGATTTCTATAGTCTCGGGGATCCAAGTCAGGTAGTCTACATTCCTCCACACGATTCATACCAATAGTCAGTTACCTAGTACACTAAGGTGATTTAGTTGCTAAAACACAATAGTGGCTAATGGTGCTTACTTTGCATAGCTGATCACTTATTAACCAACACGAAACGAACCGATGACCACTAGCTTCAACATATAAATTTAGCAGAGTGTTGTTAATGCATGAAAATAAAAGCCCCTTTTTTAGTGCATCGACAAACTAAAAAGCAGATATCTCAAGTCAGTACAGCTTAATCATCACTGATGGCTACTAACATAGATGAAATTTAAACTCGAGTTGATTATCCACACAACTGAGTCACGAATCTATAAGGTAATTATTAAATTTTGCTTAACTTCATTACTTATTTGTAGCACGACATAGAAATGTGAAAATATTTTTCTGAGGGGTAATACAATTACTAATACACAACCCACAGCTACTGAATACGCCTAGAGTATGAAATCATACATAGCTACTGCTTTACGCTTACCGTGTGGAAAGGATTTGTAAACATGAGGTTAATTTCATTACCATGAATTTAGGTTGTCTGATGGTAAAGGAATTAGGTAATAACAAAAAGAAATAAATTACATCTTTCTTTTGTAGGAACTGTTTATTTTTATAAATTATCATCAGTGAAACAATACAAATAACAATTTTAACCTACTTTACCAGACGTAGAAGCTGATGAAGTAAGAGTCGGTGAAGGTGGAGGTGTAGCACTACAAGATACAGCACTACAAGAAGCGATAGCATATGGATGTTTTTCTACTGAATGACTGAATAAAATCTGATCCTGAAGCTTAAATGTATTTTCATATGCATCAGTATCTGAATTTGGAATGAAGGTTTTTAGTCGAACACCCCTTCCATCACCAGAAGGCTGTTTTGAAGTTGTTGCCTTCGATTTAATTTGTTGTTGACTTTTTGCCAACAAGCGTGTTGGTTTCACATCACTCAAAGGTAAGAAGATTTAGGAATTCGGCTATCAGTACGCCAAACACGCAGGGTACTCCAATCCGGTCTGTCACATATTGTGGCCAGTAGGGGATATGAACGGAATCGCTGGGATTACAAACACATGGATGAGAAAAAGCCATGCTGCAAACACCAGTTGAAAGACCACCACTAACATCTGGATACAGAACCAATGGCTGTGCACACAAAAGAAAAGGTTTACAAAGAAAACAAGGTAAAAACGTTTCAACAATAGACATTGACAAACTTAACACCTACAGATAATTTCACTTGGCAACTTAAGTGTGTCAATGATATTACTAGGTAATGCAATCTACATCAATTATATAAAATAAGCTTAAGCTCAGAAACAAGTGAGTGAATTGGATATCCGGGTCATCCAAATACAACATAACATAACGAAATAGTTTCTTCGAATGACCTTGAACGTAGTCAACTTATCCCATATATTCCTGTTGAACTCTGACATTTCAATCAATGACCCTTTTAAAATATATCATGGCAGATTAACTATAACACAACTCAGACAATCGGTACAGGTTTAAGCGTTAAGCCACGAGCTTAACTTACTGTGTGAAGGTCTGTGATACTTCCCTGTTATCCAAACTGAAGGTGAAATGGAGCTTTACACCGGGATTCAGTGGTTGAGAATGAATTGCTCAGGTCAATAAGGCTGAGTATATAAAATTATGTCTTTTGATAGACAATCAATATAAACACCAAACTTAAAAATCTTGTTTTCACACCACCCGCTTAGTTAGTACGGCAAATGAAATGTCATCCGCTAGTCGACGCTTGTACAAAATGTAAACACATAACCTGCAAAGATGCTGATAATAGTCAATGAAGGTCGACTTCTTTTGCTGTTTACCTTTTGGGTACAAGAGGTTTTTCGTTAACTTGCAGTACGCTAAATAAGAAACTTACATCATTGTATGAACGAATTCATTCTTATATTGCAAACATCTGCGTGAAAAATGAAATGTGTGTAACGAAATATTCGCGAATTAGTTTTACTTTCAAGTTTAAGGCAAATTTGATAGTTATAGCAGGAGAAAAATGAAACAAATTAGCCATAGAGATGCATATAAAATCAGTAATTATAACCTACCTGAGAAGAAATATCATCTAACTGATGTTCACTAGGGAGGAAATTCTGTTGTTGAGAATAGCGATTGATAAGAAAAACAGAGCCGCTATCAGATCCAACAGCTAACCAAGTACCAGCAGGTCCCCCATGTGTTACACATGTTGGTGTTCCTAACAAACTTGTAGGCACAGAACCTGATGGTGATTCAGAGCCAGAATCATCAGCTGAACAAGCGGCCTGTTGTATGAGTGTGTATTCACGAACTTTGGTTAGTTCCCATTCCAGAGGAACTGGATCATTCAGACTAATTTCATCTTTCTTAATTGAATCTTGTTCCAGTGAAATTTGTGGTTTATTTGATTCAGAGTGTGCACTTGTCTTTTCACATTTCCCTAAAACATCAGATTTACAGAATACCCTACAATATTCACTCAACTAAACATTCAATAAAATAATTTTCTAAGGACGTTAGATAAAATGTTTTGCAGTATGATGTAGTATACTACTGCCTTGCTTGCTCAGGCGCTGATAAATAAGCAAACCAAAGTGCTTTCTCAAAAAGCTTCAAAGTTTGAAAATTACGACGCAAACTACTTAGATCGAGGATAAATCGGTGCTTAGACTACGATGGTCAGTCCTACTACTACGGTATCTGAAAAGATCAACAAGCCCAGCCATCTTACACTTCATAGTTCAAATACACGTACAAAGTTTTTATAAATTAAATTAAGACACTCAGCAACCTTGTGCATTTTCACGCAGTAGGCAATGAGCCATACTTATCATGTGAAGGTTAGTGATACTACCTGGTTGCCCAAACCTCGGTAGGTAGGATGGGGCTAAAACCCGTGACCCACTGGTTGACAGCCATAATTTAAACCACTGAGCCATAGCCACTTGCCAAGTAATCCTTGAAAACTAATTGGGTTATAGCAGGTATAGAAAACAAAGTCCGCTGAGAAGGCCTCATGTTAACTTGTTCTACTGACAGCCCAATAAAGTAATCAATTACTATCAAAATGGAACGTGGCATTGCTGCGTAACGGTCTAAGTTGCAACACCCTACGCCAGTGAGTACAGATGTAAGGCCATAAAACGAAGAACCAAGGAGTGAAAATGGCATAACCAAAAGCTGTAAAGAGTCATAAGAAGAAAAGGAGCAAACAACGACATGATATTGCGGTGGAGGTTACCTAAAAGAATGTTCATAAGTAGTACAAAGCACAACATCGGAAAACAAGTGATGACGACTAAACAGTGAAGATTTGGGAGACAGAAAACACAAAATCGAGTAGAAATATGGAGTAGAAGAACACTAAAGATTGCGGTGCCAAACAAAGAGAATATTTGCAAGCATGACTTTATTGTAAGGTTTACGATTTTACCATTACCAAATGTAACTTTCCAATACACACTCTGCTGCTCTACTGAACTTCTTTTTGTTGATGTCGTTGCTTACCATCTAGATGAAGATACCTTGACTCTCAGTTTTCAAGGATGGAGTTGGTGAGGGTGAAGAAACTGAAGCAGAAGCTGATGATTTTACGCACCTTACTGATACGCTAGATGAAGACGACCAATGAAGCGATATACGGAGATTTGGGAGACTTTGAAGAGTTGAAAGTACGAGTGACGCTGTGGAGTCTGATGAGCCACAGGATAGAACGTAAACCAGGCAAAGTCCAGAAGTTCGAGGTTGAGTCAGGATGCAGACCCGTTGGTACTGGTGATAAAACTCATAAATCTACGTCACGCACCATCCAGTACAGAGTAATGAGCACGACTAGTGGCAACATTGCTAATAGATGACATGTTATTCACCATTGCTTAGCAGTTGAAGCTTTCAAATGGAATCCGGCTGATGAGTACTAGGGTTGGCAACGGCCTCATTAAACCTGGCGGGTACAACAGCATGTGAATCCACTAGAGAAAATAGAAAACTTATAGCAGCAGCAGAAGCTCTGCCTTTCAACATCAACATGGATGATACATTCTCTTTATGAAAAACGGGAGACAGATGTAGTCTGTTTGAAGTTGCAAAAGTGTAGAAATTACAGAAAGTAAAATGTGTTTTTACCTGCTATTACCACTGGAGATTGTTCGGTGAATAGCAGAAGGTGTAACGTATTCGACAATGCGAGTAAATGGCCAGTAAATGGTGTGCTTAACTGTACAAGCACCACACTCGTCGATAGGACATGGTCAATACCACAGTCCAAGGTCATACGCAGTGTCAGTTTGGACTGTATGACGCCGTGAAGTGGCAGTAATGTGTGTTTGTTGCTGGAAGAGGTTAAAAAATTTGCAATCCGTTTGTTCTGACAACTCAAGTACGGAAAACTACAATAGGGGACGAATATTTTGAGAAAGGTAGGTGCAGTCATTGACAAAAAGTTAAAAGGCAACTACGAAATACGGGCCATCTGCAATACACGAAAATATCAAAGTAGCAGAAATATAGGCAACGCAATCACCTTTTACAGAAACAGATACTATCAATAAGTTGATTACTGAGTACAACAGTTTGCTCACCAGAAATAGAGAACCATTTGGATACTGTTACATAGCAGAATAGTACAAGAAATACCGGTAACGGAGTACATACGGACGACTTTCAACTTGTTTCTCTTCACTTAAAGAAAGGATTCGAAAAGTTCCACAAGAGATATTAGAGGATGACACAGTTCACCCAAGCTCTTAGTGAAGTCGAACAGAGAGCACAGATTTTGTATGTATTATAGAGTGTTAAACAGCATCATCGGATCGAAACCATGCACAATGCCGATGGTCGCTAAGACAGTAGACAACCTACAGGTAGCAACGTTTTCCACGTTATTGAACCTAAGGTCAGGTTAATGGAAATTACCGAAAAAGATGATAAAGATAAAGGAGTATTCATTGAGAAGCAGAAACAACACTATTTCGAACAAAGACCGTTTGGTTTTGCAGGTGTTTTCTTTACGTTAGGATCAGTGATGACGTTACTGTTTAAGAATTTGAATGTAAACGTGTACTATGGTAATGTTTGGAAGTCATCCTAGGACATGCATGCAAACAAATTTGTTATTATCTACCTCAACTTACACATAAATACGACTGTACACCTTTTGGAAACGAAATCATTGTCTCAAATGCGGAGTATAAATTTTACTATTTTATTCATTTGTTGATCTCGCTTTGATTTTTTCATGAAATTGTTGCAACTAAGACGCATGCAATATTGTGCTATATCCTACACTATCTGTTTGCCAAAGGTACTTTCGAGACACAAAAGTTGTTTCAACAATGTCATTTGGTAGCTTTCAGAAAGGAATGGTTATCACGTAATAACTTAGCATTCTTGTGCCCACCATTTATAACTATGACCACTTTAATTTAGAGTATTATTTTACAGTAGCACAAACAGACCGTCTATTAGTTAGTAAATACGAGAATATGCTACCGTTAGGTCGAAAAGCTAGTGTTACAATTATTCACCAATTAGGGAGTCAACCTATGGTAACACTACATCCTAATGCAGAAATACCATTCGCGGCAATAAGAAAATAAACTACTATGTAGTTACTGTAACAAAACGTACCTGTTCTTTGGCGTAAGTTTATTTCACCCGGATTTTCAGTTACAGATGAATGATTCTCCACACTAGATGACTTCAAGGGCGAAGTAACGAGGTTTACTTTTGAATGGGCTATGTATTCTACACATTTCTGACCTTCCAAACTTGCAATGCAACCACCATCTCCTGGAGTGATGACGTTAAGACTCATAACAGCTTTCGTGCCAGTGTCCAAACCACCAGACCGCTGGAATAAAAGCATCTTTGATATGAAACACGTTCACGGCGTAAAACATACCGCAAAACAAAAGTATCCATAAGTTTGTTTGAATGTATTAAATAAAAACACCATGAGCCATGCTGAATGTCAACGCCTGATACTTCAATCTATTACCTATAATAAGTATTCACATCACAAACTCATTTATATTAAAACCTGTTATAGAAGAGGCGAGCGTTCTGTACATCTTAAAGGCTTTGCAGAGTAATCATCAGGTCGTGCAGAAGACTTGAAAAACTCTTTACGTATCCACCTTAATGAATACACTTGGTGAAGTTACGCGTATAGGCACCTACTCCGAATATACACGATGAAGTCGTTTAATACCTGTAACTAATGAGCATTAGGCTTTTCCACCAAAATGACTCAGTTTACTCACAAGGTTAGAGCTCAGTGACTTAGACACTGTTTTTAAGTCGTCATACAAATCACCAAGTTTTGATATAAATAAAATGATGAAAGTTACTGGTAATCTTTGTTCCAGCCTTGTAATGCTACGCAGTTCGTGTTAAAGTAGATCGAGCATGATTTGAACCTGACAGCTATTTCTTGACAACCTAATGCTTCACAACATGCCAAGTTATCAGCGATCGAGTAGTATTTTCAATCCTTCATAATTGCGATCGACCACGTAGCATAAAAATGTTTACATGGTTGGCATTTCGCATTACCATTATAGACTCATGAACTAGCCATGTAAACATACATTTTCTGTGTGATAATATATTCAAGCTGCAACATTAGTACTAACATATTGGCTGCCGTCACCAAATGTACAAATAATTGTTTATTGCAGTAACAGTAAGTGCCAAGCGATTTTTATTGATACCTTTCTCTCACTGGAACCTGTTTACAAAGTGATGCACAGATGAATGATAGCGTGAGAAAACAATAAAGTGGAAAAGAATAACTAAATTGACGGCTGAAAATCGACACAATGAAGCAAACATAATTATTAGGAACTTCACACAGTAACAACTATCATCCGGAGGAATGGGGAAGACAAGTTCCTCATTCCCTAGAATACAGACAACTGACTAAAAAACCGCCATAACTATCTTTGTTTATGACATGTTCATCCAGCTATTTGCTGACTTTTGACTGATCACCTCAAGAAGGCCACGGACCAATTCTGAACTATGTAGGAACTGTACAGTTACTAGTTGACACTACTAAACAAGCTGTATAAACACCAATCCCGGCATTTCAAAACAGTATGGGTAAGGTTTAGCAACAAGGCTTCTGAGCGGACAAATAAATACACAAAAGATTTTAAAAGCTTGGGGAGTAATAAAGGAAATCAAGAAAACTGCCTATCCAGAAACTTCTTGCGAGTTCACAACCACAAGAGACTTCTTACGTAAATACACTACCGACTTTGTGCTCGTTCATCATTATTTAAAAAACTGACGCCGCACTAGAAATCAAATGTAACTCAAAGCACAGGATCGTAGTTTATGGACAGTACTTTGTTTGAAATCAATTGGCGAAATCACATTTATGTCAAATGAGATCTTATTCCCACAGAAACTATCTAGAAAGCTAGTTTTGTAGACAAGACGCATCACGGAACACAGAACAAACTGTATGAACACATATACTACCATATATGAGGAAACACATACTGATAAAATATTCATAAAACATTGGTGAATTTGAAATGACTTCATTCATACTGTCTACTTTAGTATTCTGAGTATCAAAACGGAAACAAAGCAACCAAAATCAGACACAAAACGACTTCTACCACACCAATGTGTGGAAACATAATAAACTGGACAGTGAATTCAGAAAACACAGCAATACCTGGCAGTCGATAGGAATTGGATCACTTTTGTCATTTCGGTAAAGGTTGATAATATCGATTCGATTGGGAACACCAGTTTTTACAGCACCACCACCACCTGCAACGACCAACGAGTTTCTATCCAAGACATCGACAACATATATCGGGTAGGGAAATCCAATGGCATTGATGTTTTTCACTTTTGAATCTAGCATTTTACCCTATATTGTCTAGATGTTACACCCAGTCACAATACCAACACAAAGACAATACGACTTCCAAATTGTGATCGTGTCACCTTTCATGAATGACGCGCGGTCTATGATACCATACGTGTAAAGCAGTTTCTGGTTTCAATGCTTGATGCCAAGTTTCTAGTAACTAAATGGCTTTTAAGTTGCCACATCTCAGTATGTGTGTTAACCTGGTGTAGCGGTATTGTTGCATTATACGTCTTGTGGCAAGCCAAAAGATCTGCGTGCTGCAAAAATATCAGAACGTATTCTAGCATCCAGCACCAATAGTACGAGTAAAGGAAACTTGTAGTTTTTGAGGTCTCGATTCTAGGTCTTGAAGTTTAGTTCTTTTTGTTCACTTGTAATCCGCTGATGATCTCAGAAGCCGTTATGTCCTTCTCGCTTGTAGCTTTGGAGGCAGTGTTTGTCTATCTGAGGGCTTTTCTCTAGCAAATTGTAGCTTGGTTTGTTTTGAAGAGGGCGACGGACTGCTGATAAGATCAGTTACCCTTTCATGATTCCTGTTTTTGTAAGCATCCGCAGGCAAGTGTTGGACTTTGCTTAAAATGTGCCAGAAATGGGAGAGTGGGGAATAAGAAAAAGTGGAGTGAAAAGTACTTACGGAAAAGTAAGGAGAGGGCATGCGCCTCATTGCAGATACTAGGGTGGAGGAATACAGGGGTGGATCAACATGCCTTCAGCTGCTACCGACGAATGTTCCTGGTAAGCCATTTGACTTTACGTACTTACTTAGCAGTCGTTTAAAGAAGTCAGCTGATATGCCTGCGGCTACTTCCGTTGCCAGAGTCCTCGTCTTTGCCCCATGATAGGGTGTGCCAGTGGGGTTCCGGCGGGACTTTTGGCCTTGGTCCTGTAATGTTGACCTATTTTAGTGGTCAAATTGGTGAACAATCTTGTAAGCTGTCATCAGGTCACCTCTTTTCCTCAGTGTGAATAAGTTTGGCTGTCTAGGGCGATGGGTGTACCTTTTGCCTGTTAGTCCGGCAGCCGATATTGCCGTCCTTTTCGTACCTTGTCGACAGTATACGCGTCTCTTTAATGGGGAGGAGAGCCATCATGGAGAATGCCCCAAAGCGAAGTCCAACATAAATTTCGAATACCATGAGGAATAATTCCAGGGTTAACTCTTCAAGCTATCCTTCAGAAGGTGCATGATGGCGTTTCTCTTCGCCGCCATTCCCTTGTAGTTGACATCAGTATCCAGTGTGTCAGACAAACTTGGTCCTAGTCCCTCCTTGAAAATACCCTGGCTATTGCACACTTGTTGAAGGTGTAGCTGGTTTTCACCGCTTTCGATGTGTGACGATACTCCACCTAGAAGCTGGGGCTTAAACCATTCGCAGCTGACTAGGCCCTCGACAGCTGCAGTTTGTCTCGGAGTGTTCTGAGGTCCTCTTCCCCACCCATCGTCCTCTGTATTTTGGCGACTTCGGCGACTAGGAGAATAGACGAAGAGATTTTAGTGGGAAGGTCATTGATGAATAGTAAAAATAGAAGTGGCTCGAGGATCGCTCCTTAAGAAACTTCTGTTCTTGCACTCTTCCAGGCTGATCGAATTCTGCTTACTTTAGCGCGAATTCTCTGTTATCTAGGCATGCTGTAAACCACGCAATGAATAGTTCGGTGGTACCCACGTTTGCCAGTCCAGTGAGCATGGTGTGGTGTGGGACGCTATGGGAGGCTTCGGCCAAGTCCAGGGAGATAACGTGTGCTGGTTGCTTGTTGTCCCATCTAGTGGCCCAGTCATCCCAAGCAATTACCAAGTCTGTGGCACATGACCGCCCGGTTCTGAAGCTGTGTTGGGTTAGATGGGCCATGTTGTTTCCCTTCAGGTAGTCCCAAACAGCATCTGTAACCAGGCTTTCTAGTACCTTGGAAAGTATGCGAAGTAATGCTATTGGCCCATAGTTGCACGAGTCTTTTCCGTCTCCTCTCTTGAAGACTGGTGAAAGGATAGAATGTTTCCATTCTTTGGCAGTTGTGTTAATTTCAACAAGTGCACGAACGGATGGCACATAGGCGTGCCTAGCTCTTTGTCTCACTTTAGCAGGACCACCGGCCTTTTGCCGTCACAGCCCGGAGATTACTCTTTTCTGAACGTTGAAAGTTTCGCAAACACTTGGTTCGACGAAGTCTTTATACTCATCGCGTTCCTTGAACTTCATAACACCAATAGATGCCAGTAGTGGATGCATCACTGTGTTAAAATGCTCGTCAAATGGCCTGCTCAACAGTCCAACTCTCCCACTTCTATTCAAGGGTTCCCCATTCGATCTTGTGATCAGGTTCAAACCCTTGTCCACCAGTTTTCGTTGTGATATTAAACCGACATAGACTTTGTGGATGGTAACACAGCCTCATATCCAGGTTACTGTTTTATTTGTACCTGTCATTGCTAAGGCTCATGTTACATAGGTTGCTAACTTCTTGCAGGTAAGAGAGCCTGATTCCTTGTGTGGTGTACACCGCCGATACCATGCCTTCTGTTTCCTCGGTATTTGCCTTTAAGTTCCACGAATTACCCGAGACCGTTTGGGAGGTGGTCGTCTGGTAAACCTCGGGATGCTCTTTTCGATAGCCCCCCAGATAACATCTTCGGTATGTTTCCTGTGTTCGTCTATCGATAGTAAGTGCCGTTCTTTTACCAATGGAGCCCTCAGGAGTTCGTCGTTCACGAGCTGGTAGTCTGTCCGTCGGTAACAACCAAACCCTTCTGACTCAACTGCCGATATTTTCCCTCTTGTTTATTGTCAAAGATTTCACCGGAGCGTGATTGCTTTCCTCTTGGGGGAGTTGGGTAGAGATGTCTTGCACCAACAGATCATCATTTGTAAGAACGTAGTCAGGTGGTGACCCTTCCATATTAGATTTATTTATCTGATTTATAACACAGTGATACAGTATCATTTACTTGATGACTTTTCGAGCGTAAATTATTGCAAGTAATCACGCGAGTGTAGTCACACTATTTTCAACATCTGATTTTTACAGTTCCGTCACCTCATACTCCTTGTTTATATCGGTAGTAAACGTTTCCACATCTCTGGTGTAGTTGTCGAGTAGTTTCCATCACATATGTTGCGTATTGATTCGATTAAAAAAGATTCAGTAACCAATCTCTCTCCTCACCTAATTATATCTGACTTAAGTACAATGAATTTATCCCACCCCACTATGTAGTTGTGTGCTATTGGATCCATCCCAGTAGCTAAGCTGTTTTCCGGATTGCTGACCTTATTCAGGTCTGTCAGTCTATGTTTTGCTAAATCCCTGTGTTCCGCCGCTCTTAATCAGTTCTATCGGCTCCTTAAGCCGACAAAGCTTATCTCTGAGTGAGTTTGTAGGTTTAAATACCAAGTAATTCCAGCTTTGCTGGGTGCGTAAAGTTTCTGATATACCTTCTTTATGGGGCAACATAGTGGAGGCTATGAACTCCTTTCCGCTTGTTCTAATGTTATCATTCGTAATCGTGTCATCGTTATCATTTCGCTTCCTGTGTATTAGTACGAGTTTCTCAATAAACTGCAGGGGATAATCAATGGCTGTTAGCGCATCCCTTATGGGCTTCAACTCTTTGTTCAGGTCTTAGCGCTGAATAGTCAGCTTTCTGGCTCCAGCATTCAGACATTTGACTAAATCTGCTCTAAATGGAATTGGTAGAGAGATGCTCTACAGATTAGTAGATACTGGCCATCCACTAATGCTCCTGGCAGGCAAATTTTGTGGTTCAATTCTTGCCGGCAGTCGTCTCCACCGCACGAAATTACCGGAATTTTGATCGCATTTTGTGAATCCATCTGCCAGTTCGTGTATTCCCTGCATGAACATGGTTGCGGCTTTGCTCAGATCACTAAGTGTGGAACTTCTCCCCGCGTCTCTGCTAACTCATAGTTTGTCTGGCCTCACCTCTATGATATAAAAACCTGCGATATCTGGTTGAAGGGACGGCAGTATTATGCCCTTCGGACGTCCAACCGTCATCGATGGCAACCTGAGAAGTGACAGCTTCTCTCAAGATGATTCCGCACCAGTTCTTGCAAAGACTTACGTCGTCCTTCTTCGAGAGTTTGACAGGGTAGCCCTTCTTCCAATCGATCGGCAGGTATCTTTCCTTCCAAACCTTCTGCAGTAGTTGCGTGAGCACGTCCACTGTTGTCTCTGCGTGGACCCTCGAAGTGACAGCTTCTCTCAAGATGTTCTTCCTCTTCCGGGAGAGCCCACACCATTTAAGTGCATTGAGGTCTGCTTCCAGCTTCTCATAACATTCGTCCAATTTCAACTTGTCAGACCTCTCCCTTTTTCGTAACAGCAAGGCTGCTGGCGTGGAGACTTCGAGCAAGATGACGGTGTCCCCTCTTTTGTCCTGTGGGTACAAGGTATTGGGTTCAGTAGCCGGTGTTTTTGGCCCACCCCTTCCCCATTTCCTTCCGTCCACTTCTACCCAACACAGCCTATTTCTTCGGCTTGCTCAATTCCATTAGATGGTCTGAGGTGCGTTGATACAGGTGAGGACCTCATCGGCACCTCACCTGAGGTATGAAATGGTAGTTTCACGTGCCTGGGGCGGATTTCGGTAGCTCGTGTTTTGTAACATCTGTGGCTGTACCAGGTTCCTCCGTTAGTCGGTGGTAATAACAGGTAGCTTTCGTCTTTAGGAATGAAAACAGTAAGCTAGTCGCCTACAAAAATCCTTAACGTATTGGTACAAAACGGATAGAATCTATCCCCAAAAGTATTAATAGGAGGTTGAGAAACTACTTGTTTCTTTTAAAGATTCTTACTGGTGCCGGCCGTGAAGGATTCAGAGGCAGGCTATGAATCTTTTATGATGTCCCCTGATAATGATAACATATTTCGAATGATGAATCATACGAGCCCATGCCATTTTTGAAGGCAATATCTGAAGGTTCTTTTTCTAAGCTAAGCTGAGAAAGTTTGGAAAGAATAAATGAAAGCAC